CCCTATGGTTAATCACCAGTCTCACCTCAGCCTGCTTGTGCGTGGGTCAGGACGTGCTCAGGCCCAGGAGATGCCGGGTGATGTGTTTGGTACAGAGTGTAGAGAGGATTCAGTACACGTTTTCAGGATGTACTACTGAATGCATAAATGGTTATTCATTGCCCAAAAAGACTTTTACTCCTAGAACCAATCCTTAATTGGAAATACAGAGAACATTTGATTACAGTATCATTGGTCACTTTATATCAGAATACGATGCTTCATTTTCAACAAAAGTGAAAATAAGGTTCTGTGTGTCTCTGTAAAACTTGGATGTAATTAATCTCCAGTTCAGTTCAGTCGCTCAGTCGTGTCTGACTCTTTGCGACCCCATGAACCGCAGCACGCCAGGCCTCCCTGTCCATCACCAGCTCCCGGAGTTCACCCAAAACCACGTCCATTGAGTCGGTGATGCCATCCAACCATCTCATCCTCTGTCGTCCCCTCTCCTGCCCTCAATCTTTCCCAGCATCAGGGTCTTTTCAAATGAGTCAGCTCTTCTCTTACAGGAAGAAAAAAAGAGTTAATGTATGGTTTCAGAGTTGGGAGTAGTCTGGCATCAGATCCCTGTGTTGCAGATGGAAGATCAGAAAAAAAGAGATTCCAAATGCCATACAGAGCCACCCAGGTATCTCAAATCTTCAAAGGACTAAGATTAACCTTAAAATGAAAACTAGTGTTTCAAGAGCCTGTAATCCAGCGTAATGTGCTTGTGTTGAAAATGTCCTCTTTTTCATGGAAAAATGTGTGCTGGATTCCACAACCTGAGGGAAACGGCAGGATTTTCTTTGACTTATAGTCTTCTTGGCATTTCCTGTTCCAGGAAGTCTTCCCAACCCAGGGATCGAACCCGCATCTCCGGCATCAGCAAGCGGGTTCTTTACCATTGAGCCATCTGGGACGTCGCTACTTACAGTCTCTTTTGGAACCACGCGGTAACGTCAGTGGCCATCCACCAACTCAGGGCCTCCAAAGTGCAGAGGGCCGGGCTCTGCCCTGCTGGTCATCAGCCAGGTGATAGGCTGTGAATTGATTACAGTTCATGAAAACCATGACAATTCAAAATTATTTGAATAAGGACAATGGGCTTCCCTTGTAGCTCAGTCGGTAAAGAATCTGCCTGCAGTGCAGGAGACCTGGGTTCGATCCCTGGGTTGGGAAGATCCCCTGGAGAAGGAAATGGCAACCCACTCCAGTATCATTGCCTGGAAAATCTCATGGACAGAGCCTGGTGGGCTGCAGTCCATGGGGTCGCAAAGAGTCAGGCACGACTGAGCGACTAATATGTGATAGTAAGACAGCAAAAAAAAAAAAAAAAAGCAGTGGCTAGTCAAGGAAACACCCAGCAAACAAATCCTGAAGACAAGCCTCCAGTTACCTAGTGTGGGAAGGTAATCTCTAAAGGATGAAGGGCATTCCTAGGAGCGTTTTGTAAACTGCTCCTAAGGGAGTGCTAATATCGATCGCTTCCTCCCACCTATCTCATTCCCCATTATGGCATATTCTTATTTGGGGGGAAGTGGTCAGCTCCCAGCTGGACGCCAGCTTAGGTGAGACAGCTGGCTCTCTTGCTTACTGGGTTAAAGGCAAGAAGCGTAGCGGTGGAGTCTTTGAGCATAGAAATGGTATATTGGTGGAATAAGCTCATTGGCTACCTTACTTCTAAGGTCTGGATAATACCTTTTTAATTTCTGCTGCATATTTCATTGACTCCCCAGGTAAAAAGCATGAGTTGAGGCTGTAGACAAATTATGCTGCCTGCCTCAGCACTAAACAAAGGATGCTGGGGCCACTTGAGCCTCAGCCACCGAAGCCCCCAGGCCCGGTGGTGTAGCCCTGAGGGGATTCAGGATGTAGGAAAGAGGACACTGGCCCCAGAGAGTTAAGGGGCATATCAAAGAAATGATTTCAATGACTCCAGTCTCTGCATCTTCCCTGATAGAGAAAAGTACTAAATCCCTAAACTTGAGATGTCTGGTTTTCTTTAATTAACAGTAATCTTTTGAAGTTTCAACAGCTTGTTTTGTGTGTGTGTGCACGTGTGTGTGCAAACTCCTATATATCCGGGCTGCTTCCTTATCTCTTGGGAACAACCCCTCGGAGCCATCTGAGAGGCTGTCCCTAGTCCCTGCCGGCTCAATCGTGTCTGACTCTTCCGCGACAGCATGGACTATATCCCAACAGGCTCTTCTGTCCCTGTGGTTTCCCCAGGCAAGAATCCTGGAGTGCGTTGCCACTTCCTCTTCCAGGGAATCCTTCTGACTCTTGCACTCCTGCCCTGGAAGGTGCATTCTTTACCACTGTACCACCAGGGAAGCCCCGAGAGGCTGAATCCCAGGCTGAAGTCCTTAGTATGTCTGCCAAATAAAACATTATCCCCAACTTTTAGATTGTGCATTTTTGTCAGTCGATAAGACCCATAAAGGAGATACTTCACACAACCTAAGCTGATGAGGGGTTTTGGACTTAGCATTCCCAACTAGAAATTTTAGGCCTTTCAAAAACAGCATTACTTATCTTTAACAGAATTTTGATCCTTAAGTTTAAAAAAAGCAAAACAGTGTAGCAATGAAATGCATAGAAACCAAACGAATATTCCAGAAGGAATGCAACATTTACAATTCCTATTTTCACTTCACTGGTGTGATTCCACCCCCCCCACCCCCGCCACTGGTGTGATTTTTGAACACAGGAATTTATTTTGTAAGATGACCAACACCTTGAATATATTGATTTCATATTTTTCTTTTTTTTATTTCATATTTTTCATTCTTTGAATCTTTTCCTCTCAATTTTGGGCAGTGAATATAAATATTTCCTGAATTTTTTTTTCTAATTAGAGTAAACACACTTTAAATGGATTGTATTTTGACTTGAAACATGTTTTCTTGGTAAATATCTTAGGTATCCTCAGCACTATAATTTTTGGAGATAATTGATAACATTTCTATTATCATAAAAAAGTAAGCTTATTGCCACATAACACAGTACCATACAAACCATGTAAAACAAATTTTTTTTCTCCTTTCAGAAACTGTTTTTCTAGGAAGTTTGCAATCCATGGGGGAAAGGGTGGGGTTATTTTCACTGATTGCTCTTAATCATCAATAGCAAGAAGATTATATTCATATAAGTGTAATGCTTGGTGATATATGCATTATTAATTATTTTAGATTATATTTGTTTGGCAATTTTACTTAGGTCTCCAGGGCATTTAAAAAATTTATTATCTAATTTAGTCCTCAAAAGATCTTATTCCCTCTTTTTTCGCATAAGTATACTGAAGCTTGGGGAAGTGAAGGAAATTTGCTTAAGATATACAGTGGCACCTGGATTCAATCCCTGGGTTGGGAAGATCCCCTGGAGAAGGAAATGGCAACCCTCTCCAGTATTCTTGCCTGGAGAGTCCTATGGACAGAGGAGCCTGACAGGCTATAGTCCATGGGGTCACAAAGAGTCGGTCAGGACTGAGCAACTAAGACACACACACACAGAGATGGCAGGCAGCAGAGCCAACGCAGAAGAATCTTGTCTACATCCCCCGTGCAGCGCATCGGGGTTTGCAGAATAAGTGTAAGACATGGTTTCTGATTTTTTTTTTTTTTTTAACTGGCCTGTGAAAAGCAGTTTATAAACAGTTTATCCTGTTCACATTATGCATTATTTCAATTATCATCCACAACGTTGGTATAGTAACTGAGACAGACAGGAGAAACCTAGGGAGGAAAAAAGGTTTCAGAGTGTAGCCTGACATATTTCTGGGGGTCCTCTCCTTTGGTCTTCGAATAACAGTTCACTGTTTTTAGAAGGAGAGTAGACTAGGATTCATTTACTGCTCAGGTGCCTTCTCCAAAGTGTGATAAAACAGTAGTAAATTCAATAATGAATATCTGAAAGTCAAGCCAATGTAACTATAATTGGGAATACCTTTCTTAATCTATTATCACAAACATCCCAGTTGCCTCCATCTTTCTTAAAAAATTCTTTCAAAAGTTAAGAGAATTAATTATACCACATCAATTCCCTCAAAAGAAAAAAAAAAAGAGTACCATTTAGCATATAAAAGTTACACATTAAAAGTGTATATATATCTTCCTTAATTGGCCCAGTCATTAAATTTACATTTGGTCATCCTTACTTTTAACATATAGAATTCTTCATGTAAATGTAGGTCACTATAAATTAAAAAAAAATTAATTCAGCACTAAACATGCTTTCTTCTTATTGAAATCTTAACCTCAATCAGTTCTCAATCATTGTAAACTTGGATAAACTCACAAAGAAACACAAGTAAAGGTTTGTTATGCTTCTCTTAGTTTGTTGGACAGTTAACATACAAAAATCACAAATTTCACTAAAAATTTGGGCCAACTCATTGCATATTTGCCCCCTGAAATGAAAAATAAATTAGAACTGAAGAAGTGTATTGCCATAACTTACCTTGAAGGTAAGCAGGTTCTCCTGTATTTATAGAACTTAGACTAGAAACATTACCAGTCATCTCCAACACAAGTGCTTTTTTAAAGGAAAACCTAGTTTTAAACTTTTAGTACAGGACAAACCCTACAAAATTCATCTGCCTTTCTCAAACTAATGGAAGATCCTTTTGCAACTTACTATCTTCAGTTATCAGTATTACTGCATTATGGAGCTAGTGCAATCCTGCATAGTCTTGGTCTCAATGACAAGGCACAATAAAAAAATTAAAGTATTACATGAACAAGAGAAGTCACTGAAGATAATTTAAGGCCTTGAAGTGAATTAGAGTATAATTAGTCTAATTTAAAGCTGAAGAATAAACCATAAATTATCCACCTGAAATGCAAGCAATATGCTTTTTCAGCTTCTGTTCTGTGGACAAGACAACAGAAACAACTCTTGCTTATGGTTTGTGTATTAGAATCCTTCTGGACCTGGAGGAGTAAAAGTCAATTCCATTTTTCTACAGTTCATGGAAGGTTTCAAGACTGTTTTAGCCGTTTTCGTGGAATACCAAACTGTGGACACTGTGCAGATGCTAGTGCTCGGAAGGCTTCTGCCACCAAATGTGGGTGAGACTGAATCATGGACTTCCACCCGGATGTTTCCATTATGTCCACTGCTTGGTTGCTCTTCCAGTTTTTCCCATCTTTACACCCAAGCTGTCGAAGTACACTGCACCTATTAATAAAGTCTATGGCTTGTGCTTTCAATTGTTCTGCACTGTGCAAATCTGCAAGGACAAGGGTATCAGCAACATTTTCTACTGAGAGGTTACTACACAAAGCTTCTTCACACATGACCTTCAGCCGTTCCAGTGCATATTTGTCTGCAGCTGCCAACAAGTTGTCAGCCATTTTGTCAAGGTTTGGCACTTTCCCTGTGTAAATGAATCTCATCATTTCTTTAAAAACCTACATCATTTATTTCCACTCGATTCTTTTTGCTTTCTTCCATTTCATGTTCAAACATGGCATTAAAAACTGGGGATCGAGCTGCAAGAACAGATTTATGAGCTTTAAATTCTTGTCCTCTCACAAAAAAACTGCAATCTGTAAATCTTGTGTTTTCCCAGAGATTACCTAAATCTTCTGCTAGTCGGCATTCAGGCACCTTTAACGTATTTGTATTAGTATGTCCTGATATATTTACTGAATCTTGGACCACACTCACCTCACAAAATAATGTAAGCTTGTCATCTGGTAAAAGACCATTAGCTTCATCAAGAAAAAAATCTCTTCGAATGAATTTTTTAAAACCCCAGTCCTTCCCTTGTACAAATCGATATGCTCTTTGGCTTTCCATTGCTTTTGTTTCTTCCCTTTTAGCATTCAGAAGGGAAAATTTGAATTTTGCTCAAACTTCACTTTTTGGACAGCTGACTAAAAGCAAATATAAGGACAAGTAGTCTTTACTTTCATCATCTAATCCTTTTGGATTTACTCTCAGGCACCATTTCATTTTGTCACTGGGGCTAGATGAGAATGTTGAACTTTTTAACACTTCACCCATTTCTTCTCGACAAAAACTGAAGTTATTAATGGTCCACATGTAGGAAAATTTTGCTACTTTAACCTGTGTATAACACCAGCTTTCTGCTATAGGGCCGACAGACATATCTCCAGAGAGAGGTGGGGTGGGTTCCCAAGACATTGCCACTTTACTGCAGTCTTCTAAGATGCGCGCACTGTCCCAGACAGGTGAGCACTTTGCCGTGTGAAAAGAGCCCGATCCTAGTCAATATTTTTGCCAGTGATTCTGAAGCAAGCTAATAAGCCACCATGACCAATCTTGAAATGAACAAACCAACAAAAGTATTTGCAATGCATAGAGCACACAAAGGGGGTAATTTCCCTAATATTTAATGATTTCCCATTCTGTTCCAGGACCGCTCAATCATGATTTCAGCTTATATAACCCACAGTTTTCCACTGATACCACCTGCTGCCATCATTCTGATTTCATGAATCTTGCAAGGGTTGTTGGAAATGTTTTTACTGTGCCAGGATCCAGGCGGTCGCTGCTGCCGTGATCTAGTAGTCCCTGATGATCTCTCCCTTCCTCAGCGTGCCCAGCTGAACTCTCTCTCCTCTGCTGGTGCCCCGACCTTGCCCCTTCTCAGCTTCCCAGGTAACCTGAGAAGTTGCGGTGGAGTCTGGGCCTTGGAGATGGTCCCAGGGGAAGCCTGGGATGCTGCACTGTGCTCTCCAGCCGGGGTCACCAGCCTCTGCCCCAACGGCCTAGAGGTGCAGCCGCTCATCTCCTCCTCTTTTATCTCTGCTGGGTCATCACAATGTCTCCAGGTCAGGGTCTTTGCTCCCCTCCCAGAGAGACACACCCTAATGCCTATCCGGTTTCTGATTTTAAGAAACTTAAAAGATTGGAAAAAGATTGATGCAGTGAAAACTGCTTGCACAGATGGCAGATGAAGCATAGTCCTGGGGCCAGAGAGGCCTTGCAGCTCCTGAGAATGTGCTTCTCAGAGTTGAATTAAGTCATGTGTAAAGGATAAGGCAGCAAAGCTTTCAGCTGATAAAGGTGCTATCACAGGCACTTGTTGTCTAAGGATCTCAGAGATAATTTGAGATAATCAAGGCTGGATTTACCTGCATGTAAACGACCTGGGTTCGATCCCTGGGTTGGGAAGACCCCCTGGAGAAAGGAAAGGTTGCCGACTCCAGTATTCTGGCCTGGAGAATTCCATGGACTGTATCGTCTATGGGGTTGCAAAGAGTCGGACACGACTGAGTGACTTTCACTTTCACTTTCTTTCAAACGCTTGTCAACCACATAATCATGTCTTCCCAGCAGCCATGCAGCACACAGGATGGCTAAACAAGAGAAGCCCATTGTGTCCTTCAGAAACCAAGTTTTCACCTCAGGCCTGTGGCAGGAGCAGCAGCAGGAGGCACGTCAGTCATGTTGGTTGAACACACTGCTCTAAGGGACCTCAGGCTCTGTCCTCTGTGAAACCAATTAGTGGTTAATATTCGGCTGGGCTGTTAACTAGAGCACAAAAGTGGGACAAGATTTGCAATCTGTTAATGTTTCCTTAAAACCTTGTTAAGTAAAAGCTAAATCCATTATTAATGGGAGCAATATAAATTAGGTGCTGTCATTAGCAGTCCAAATGTGTATGTACCTTTGCAAAAGGTTATCTTTAATGCTTTTTAAAAAAAATTAATGTAACTGTGTGTTTTGGATAATCATAGTCCCAGGGAAAATTTAGAAGCTTCGAAAGTACTGTTGCTTAGCCAAACAGAAGTGACAAGGTAATGTCTGCCCATGCCTTGTGCCTGAGAAAGGAAATGAATACTGGATAAGACATTCATGTATCTAACAAGCTAGATTTAACGCATATTACCACATTTTCTTCAAATCGGTATTTTTTTAAATGAAATTAAGTGTTTAATGTAGCTTAAAAAAAAAAGAAGAAAAAGAATTGAATGTAGTCCAAATGAGCCACCACATAATTACAGAATACTGTGGGGTAGTTGGACTTCCCAGGTGGCGCTAGTGGTCAAGGACCTGCCTGCCAATGCAGGAGACCGAAGAGACTGGGGTTCGATCCCTGGGTCGGGAAGATCCTCTGGAGAAGGAAATGGCAACCCGCTCCAGCATTCCTGCCTGGAAAATCCCATGGACAGAGGAGCCTGGTGGGCTACAGTCCATGGGGTTGCAAAAGAGTCGGACATGACTGAGCGACTAAACACACATACTACAAATATAAGTGGACATGCACACAAGTGTTCAAAACGTGCCAGCTCTTATGAAGTTGGTGTTTGTGATACTCAGAGAATGTAGACCCTCCATCACTGTTTCTAGGGCCTTTCATGCTTCCCTGTAGCCCTTGTTGGATGCTGCTGCTGCTGACTTGATTTGTCCCACTCCTCAAGCTTGGAGCTTTCTTAGGACAAGTAAGAATTCCTCCCTGGCAATTGCCACGTCATCTGGAGGACAATAGATACTAAATCAGTATCTGTTAAAGTCAAGCCTTAGGTCTAATTTTTCTCTGTTCATTACTTCATATTGATCATCAGCTAATCAGAGTCAAACCTGAATCTGTTCAGATCAGGATAATATCATCTCTCCCCTGTGTTATTTCGGCAGCTTCCCTTACTGCCTGTCTTCTGCTTTCCCCACCCTCTCCTCCGTTATCATTAGTTCAGCCCTCAGGATGCTGTCAGCAGATGTCTATAAAATAGTATCTGATTCTATTATTCTTTTGCTGCTTTCTCATGCCCCCTGGGGTAGATGTATACCCCTTTTGCAAGAGACGCAAGGTCTTTCCGCGAGGAGACTCCTCTTCTTCCAGGTTCTCGGCCCCCTTTCCCCTTTCTTGAGTTTCATTCTATCACACGAGCCCTGTGCCACGCCCTCCCCTCTCCCGACCTCCCCCTGCCCCGTAAGGGTCCTCCCTCCCCAGCCTCCCGCCCTGGCCCGCTGGCCTCCCCGCTTAGCCTCTCTTCCCGATTCTCTGCCTCGCGGCCCAGTTCTCATCCCTCTATGGACCTCCCTTCACTGCTCGCCACAGAAGCAGGCTCCTTCCCTCTGCTCCTCCCCACCCCACCCCTCTCCTCCCACTGCCTGGCCCAGGCCGACACTTATCTTTATGAAATCCAAGTTTTTATATTGAAATTGTGTTTTTATGCCTATCTTTCTTCAAAGCCACAAGCTCCTTGAGATAGAGTGCTATTCGGCAGGTAGCAGAAACTCGAGACATATTTGTTGAATAAATGAATGGATGAGTAAATGAATTTGATATATTCAACTGTAAAAATGTCTTCATGAAGTCAGACAATTAAAATAAAAAAAAAGAAAACCCCTGTGATCTGGAGATTTACTGGAAAGACTGATTCTCCATGCTGTGGTGATAAAGGCAGCAGAGGGAGGAATAAAAACTCACCCATTCGGGTCTCACATACACCAGCTGTCCTAATGCGTTTCCCCTCCGCTTCCGGCTTTTTACAGACAGGACAACACAATTCAGAGGAAATTTTCCATGACATTAAAGAATATCATGAAAGCTGCCGTACAGCTGGTGCGAGGAGTGAAAATAAACTCAGCGATTTAATACAAACTGTCACTTACTTTTTCCAGAAAAGAAGCATTGCACAGGTTTTCACTGAGAACGGTGCAGCCTGCAGGGGCCCCTGTCGCCTTCCAGGACGGGATCCGCGACTGAGTCCCTCGGCTTCCCTGACAATGCCCACCGTGCGTGTGCATGCAGTAGGTGTTTGCTAAATGCATGGAGGAAGGACTCAGCGGACCCAAATATAAAATCGGGCTCTATTTTATAGAGGCATTAGGTAAGTGATTTAAAGAGTGATAGACATGGTCCTACTTTCTGGATTATGGTACCAAAGTGATAAGGATGCTGTTGATAGATTTTTCACTCACATATATAAAATGCAGTCAAGAAAAATGAAAAGGGAATGTCTGTCAATGCCAGAACCATAAAGGAAAATGAATCCAAGACTGCTGTTTCCTCTCTGGCCAAAGGTATTTTGCAAAGAAGATTCCTTGTGTGTTAGAAGCGGCCTGTTCCTGAATCATGTGTCTGCTGCTCCGCTGCATCTTGTTAACTCTGGCCTAAAAAATGAAGCCTGGGACACAGGGCGGGAATCAGCAAGGCTTTCTAATGTGTTCCAGTGAGAGCCTATCTGTTTTCAGTCCCTAAAGCAGGGATTTTTCTCTTTCTTTGCACCTAAGTCTTTCTCTCATCCAACTACCTATTTCTAATTTTGCTTGAAATCAGAATTGAAATTATTCAACAAATATTCAATGAACACTTACTCTGTGCCAGGTTCTGATCTAGGCCCTGGGGTCACAGCAGGTTTCCCTGGTGTCACTCATTTCAGGAGTCTGCAATCTTGCTCTGCAAGACCAAAAATCAACTGTTAATACATCGCGTGCCTGGGGGAGTAAGACTTTTGGAGGAGCAGAAGGCAGATGCCCTGAGACTGAAGGAAGAAGAGCTCTCTGAGATGAGGTTACAGGGCTTCCCTGGTGGTTCAGATGCTAAAGAATCTGTCTGCAGTGCAGGAGACCCAGGTCCAACCTCTGGGTCAGGAAGAGCCCCTGGAAAAGGAAATGGCCACCCACTCCAGTATTCTTACCCGGAGAATTCCACGGACACAAGAGCCTGGAGGTACAGTCCGTGGGGTTTCCAAAAGTTGGACACGACTGAGCGACTAACACCTTCACTAGGAAAGGCAGCTACTACGAGGTAACATTTTCCTGTGTTTTATCCCATTTTTCACTTCCAGCCACATGATTGCCATGAAGTCTAGCTGATGTGAGTC